TTACTATTTCCCTTGAATTTATTACTGGATCCCTTGTAACGAGAATCCTGCTATAACGGACATATCGCACCGGTCCCCTCCCTCTCGTTATAACAGGATTCCACTGTACCACCAAATAGCAAGCAATAAGAACTTAACAGTTGTGAGCAAAAACATTTTGAGAACCAATTAAACGAGGAGAGTTACCTTAGTTTTCCATCTCTTTGTTCTTAGTTAAATTTTTGTTGATGTTGGAGACGAAGCCGATTCACCTCCAAATTTCCTCTAATTAATCTTCATGTGATGAAAATGTTGCTTTAAAAGTTGTTCCACCTGATTTATAACGGTTAAATCTCAGCGGCACAAAAACAAAACATGCATACACAACACTTCAAAATATTACTTCTATGAGCTGGATTACGCCGTGTAGTCGAGAAAGTTGAACGCACTCAGCAAAGAACCAATGGGCGCATAGGTATCTGTGTCAGTGGGGGAAAGTGTGTCCTAAACTTTCACCCCCTTGTCAGGGCTAGGAGAGCGTAAGCCCTCAGTACAGTGTACTTTTTTCAGGTCTTTAACCTTTTTTACAGGAAGAGTTTCATTAAGGACGGGCAATGGGAAAGGGCTCATATCCTTGCTGAGCCCTAAAGATATTTGATTGGCTGCTGTTACTATAGTTGTTAGAGGTGACAACAGTGATGGGATAAAAGAGCAAGCCGCCAAGTTGATCACTCTGTGTCCATAGCGTGCGGTCATAGCGGTTTCAACTGCTAATTGGAATTATATTCTCCAGCAATTTATCCAACGACTTGTGCAATAAATGAGGCAGAGATGTACTGCAGTCATCAATGTTGGTGGGAGGTACACCCGTTACTAATTCTGGGATTTTGAACATTTGAATCGGTGTTATAGTTATGAGTTTCTAATAAAAGGTGTGTTTTTGATCGTTTTTCTTAGTTTTTTTGTCTGCCCTTAATGAAAAAATGGCAAGCCTTTCAAAATCCATTGGCAATACGCCATTACTACCGTAAAGAACGGAAATAATGCATAGAACGTAGGGTGCCCACTTTCTTTTGCTCGTCAGTATATGACATAGCCGCCACAAGAAAAAAAGGAGTAGTGAGTAGGCCTACATTCCACGTTCAGAAACCACAAATTTTCAAGACAAAGAATGTACCTAGTCATCTCAATGCCTGCCCTGGCAATGGATCTCACGATTATTTACAGCTTTACAAATTACGGTACTTTACCTGTTGTGGTGGAAGTTGACGTGAAAAACTTGTACAGCCCATAGTCAAAGTCATCTGGCAAATCAAGGTCATTCATCATTGAGCGACGCGATTGCATCCCAGGGAGGACTCAGTCACTTTCTCCAAAATAAGGGATGATCTTGTGAAAGAATAAAAATCCAACAGAAATTTTGAGAAATGAAGTCTACTTTGTCTTCATAAGATTATAGATCTAGATCTAGAACTAGATTGTAAGTCAAGTGAAGAGTGGAAAAAACTTTAATCTTCTGAAAACCCGACACTTTCCTTTCAAATTCAAGGCTTAATCTAGGACTTAATCAGCACTGACAATCAATGTGCGTACCAGGACAATAGGCCTACACTGGTACACATAGAAACTGAAAAACAGTATTTAAGGATTAGGATAATTCAACTTGGACTTGAAGATTGTTGGGGTAGGACAGGCATGATTCACTTTCACTTTTTATAAAAACTTTTTATTGTAAAACGAAGTGTACATATAGACCCAGTAACGGGAACAAAGTCACGAAGTATACAGACCCGGTAGGGGAACTCTTTTGTGATTTCAGAAAGTTTCAGCGCCCAGACTCGGTAGTGTGTGTGAGAGAGAGAGAGTGAGAAAGAGAGAGTGAGAAAGAGAGAGTGAGAAAGAGAGAGAGTGAGAGAGAGAGAGAGAGAGAGAGAGAGAGAGAGAGAGAGAGAGAGAGAGAGAAATAGAGAGGGTGACTGCTCGATTGAAATTATGATATTGTTCTTTTCTTCAAATTGTGATTCCTCCAACTCCAAAACGGAGGAAAAACAATCGTTCATCGAAAAGACATCCACAATTTTCATTTAAATTTAGAGTCTAACCGCGTCACCGCGCATCTGTTTGGGTGCGCAACCCCCGGTCTCCTGCTCTGTTTTGGATAAGAACAGCGAAAACGAGGTCACTTTCTGTGAGCATGCGCAGAATGCAGCTTATTTCACTTTCGTTTTGGAGGTTCCTGTCAACACACATGATTCTACGGTGTCGGAAAGTTTTGCCCCTTCATACTGATGGTTTTCGTAACCGGTATCGGTGAATTTACTTGAGTAGTCGATAATTTAGCACATCTAGTTAATCTACCTCTAATAATGTATCGTAGAATGTATACTACAATCGATAAATACTATCGCAGGCTGCTTCTTAATGCTCAGCAACATGCCAGATAGGGTTGCGCACTGAAGCAGACCAAATTTGTGCAGTCCGTTTCAGTGCGCAATATCGGCTTTTTTGCTATTTGGCATTGATAGATAGTGTGGCTTCTAGGCCCTTTGGTTGTTTTACTTGTTAAGTTATTTCTTTATGACCTGCATTGTGCACTGAAACAGACTGTTTTCCTTCCATTTGGATGCATTATATTGCCATTGGAAGATGATCAGTTAATGTATTCATGTCAAAATTAATTAATATGGAAATTTAATCTCCAAAATGTTCAATTTCTTCCTTTCACGTCTTTTTCTTCTTCTTTTTTGTCCTTTTCCTTTAAGAATACTAGTCTAGGTATAGTCTAATTCTTGTTTTCTTCTTTCACCTCCTTGTGTCCACAGCACCTTTCTTTTTCACTTTCTTCCTTTCACGTCTTTTTCTTCTTCTTTTTTGTCATTTTCCTTTAAAAATACTAGTCCAGGTATAGTCTAATTCTTGTTTTCTTCTTTCACCTTCTTGTGTCCACAGCACCTTTCTTTTTCACTTTCTTCCTTTCACGTCTTTTTCTTCTTCTTTTTTGTCCTTTTCCTTTAAAAATACTAGTCTAGGTATAGTCTAATTCTTGTTTTCTTCTTTCACCTTCTTGTGTCCACAGCACCTTTCTTTTTATCCATTATCAAAACACACACACACGGTATAAGGAAATCTCCTGTCAGGGGGCCCACAGCTCCCAAAAAGAACACACCTCATTGACCTTGGCCTTCCGTTATGGTCAGTACAGGAACTTCTTGCAAGGAAAAGAAGACAAGGCCAGGATAGAGAAAGATGAAAAGTGTCAGAAAAGAGCTAGATCTAGATCTGTAAACATGGTACTATTGCGCACCAAACCAGACGATATATGTTGCACCAAACAGAGACCTTGTGCATCAACCAGACACACATTACCAAACAAACACCACCACAACATATAGGAATTTTAAACTGCTGTTACAGTGATGCGCTACACCATATAGAGAGGAAATTTTTCTAACTTCTGGTGAAAAAATCATGAAGATCGACCTGTAACTTCCAGAGATATCCACAAAAGATCGCTTACTGTATATCGCACCACAGGATTAACTACTCTAGATCTAGATCTAGGCTAGCCTCGACACTAGATCAATGATTTATATTTTAGACCTGCATGTGAGCCTCAACCAGAAACCGGATTGTCTGAAAATTTTGCGCAACCCCCCCCCCCCCCCCCCATAAGAGCTTTTGTGGGCGTCATAAGGAAGGACTTTTCTGAGTAACGAGTGACCACCCCAAAAAAAACACAATAATAGATAGAGACCTATCTAACCCTAACCCTACCCCAAAAAAAGAACCTGCAATGGGCCTCATATAAAAAGGCCAGCAAAAGTCCAAAACAAAAAAAAACCCACACTCCAAAACAAACAAAGAGCATGCATAATATGGCCTACTACATATACATTGCTATACTATAAAAGGATTTGATACAATAACACAATAGAATTGGAATATGAATCCTCCATAGATCTAGATCTAGTAATCTAAATAAATCTAGATCGAGATCTTTTAGAACAAGGGAATAGGAATAGATATCTAGACCTTGAACTAGAAAGCTGCATCCGATTCCGAACAGAGGGACTCAGCTGAGTATAGATAATAGATTCTATAAATAATTCACGCACCTGATGAAATGCTTTTTATACAAACATTACTATTACAGAACAACCTATGATAGGGTTTGACACAATAGAATTGGAATATGAATCCTCCATTGATGTCTATTATAATGATCTATAAACCTAGATCTATATCTAGAACAAGTGAGTCGGACTTGAATTCCACACGATCTGAACAATTGAATTTGTCAAACGAACGAAATTCAAAATGGCCGCTCGAGCACGAAACTGAAAGTAGATAATTTAGGTCGTCGTCGTTTTTCGCATTTCTACTCGGGTTCCGACAATTATGTCGGAAACGCTGACGTCGGCACGAAAACGAAAGTGCCGACAAAGTCGACGGGAGATAAAGGGGGCGCTGGCAGTCGGCCAGGCCTCGCACTTCGCACATTGACTAATACAGGTGGGCCTAGTGATAGCTTCAGTCGGCTCGCAATTGTCGGATTTCAGATGATTGTCGGCAAACATGCAGGTCTAATGTCTAAGAAAGTGGCTATTCTCACCCGCCCGGAAGCAAGATCAACTCCTCCCCTCTTCTCTCTCTCTCTGTCTCTTTCTGAATACTGTCTATCGGTGTGGACGATCAAATTGACCAAAACAAAGTTAAAAAATGATGTTAAAACACAAAAGTAAATTAATTTGGTTGTCTACAAAGATGTTACGGCTATTTAACATTTCGAATCGAGCCGAACTATGCGGGTCGCCATTTTGTTTTGCCCGGAAATTCTCGCGCTACTCCTCTCTCTCTTTCTCTCTCTCTCTCCACTGCCCACAGACAAAATTGTACGCTTTTAGTAGGCTAGTTGTAATGGAATGTTTGTTCACGGCACAGAATTCTACAATTTTTCTGTTATCACAGAGTAGAATTCTGTGGTTTAGGGTGAACGCAAAATTTGGTGAACGCGCACCGAGTGAGAATAGCCACAAGACTCGCCTGTACTATTCTCACTCCGGGTGAGAATAGAGGTGGCCAATGTCTAATATCTGTCTGTCTTGATCTAGATCTAGACCTAGGCCATAGATCTAGAAGAACCTAGGCTAGTTCTACCCTGAGCCAAAGAGGGCACTGAAACTTTCCGAAATCATAAAAGAATTCCCCTACCGGGTCTGTATACTTTGTGACTTTGTTCCCGGTTACCGGGTCTGTATACACTCACATTGTTACTGTAAAGAAAGCCTAAAACTGTAAAATAAGATGGTTGCCAGTCAAAGGCAAGTACCTTTTAAACCAAAAGATCAGCAAGTAGGCTACTTTCTGAAGATGACAAATTGGGGGTCCACATCAGGCTTCCTAAAAGGAATTCATCTAATATTTGACTTTTTTTCTCTCAGTCATTCATTCATTGAACTGACAATCCTCATTCTTCTCATGAGACTCATGACATTTCATTTTCTTTCCAAGCAAGATCCCAGATGAAGACAGCACTAAAAACTAAGAATGATCTTGAATGGTGTAATTTAGCAACCGGTTAGAGACTTGAACAATATATGTGGTAAAAGACACCTTTTTATTCTCTGCTATTGAACAAGAAGCATCTTTTTGGCAGTTCAGGTCTGGGGTTGATCCGCAGACAAGTTGTGTTGACAGTCGAGAATAGAATCGTTCCGAGTCACAAAGCAGCACTCTCGAATCGTTTCAAAAGCATTGGTCACAGACTCACAGTTTTGTTGAGAAAAACCTTTCAATGTCCAAACTGTACTCAGAAGGACCAGAAAAATACCAGCTTAGTGCAACGAGTCATGATTAATGAGAACATGAACATGAGTAACACAATAAAACCGATAAAGTCTTGTAGGACTCCATTTTTCCCTCAGAAATGTTGTAAATTTCGAAGTGGAAAACAACAGGAAACGACAGTCGATACTCCACTGATGCCTTCGCAAAAAAACATGACCAGATTTAGCGAAATAAACATGCGTAGAAACTAACGCTTCGAGCTAACGAGACGAAGGGAAACAACATATCTTTTAAAGTGTCATTTTCTATAAAATAATATCGTCCCCTGTCTTAAAATTAAACCTTGAATATTGTGCTGAACATTGTGCGTTTGTAATTAAACGACAACGTAGAGTGTATAGTAGCCTAAATAAAGCTTCACCAGTACTATAAAGTGCTTTTTCATGAGAACTGACTTTCATA